GCTCTGTACAAAATTATGAATGATCGATTTTTATCAAAAGCATAAAATATTCTTTTGCGCACTTTTTATATACAAATTTGGATTGTGATGTAGAAAATCAATTCAAAAGCTAGGCAAAGCAATTCTGGAAAATAATTAATTATAAAATATGCCTTATTTATATAAGTATGAACTGTTTTTTACTTTGACTATAACGAACTCAAGAATATATAAATTCTTTTAAACTTTTGACCACTTCTTTTTCAATACAAATATATAAGAACTGCGATTACTTTATGATGCGAATGTTCAGCAACTTGAGAAAAATAATTGGAATTTTAGTCACATTAGGCGATACTGCACTAATTTAACGTTATTCATAATAATTATAAAAATTTTTAAAGTAATTATAAAGCGTCGAAAACAGCTTTAATAGAATTAATATTTGTATGGAGTTTTAGTAACTGTCAATTTTTTAAGAAATTAATTTAAAATTTCTACTTTTCTTATGATCATTATGGTAGAGGGATATTTAACAGATAATAATCGAGTCAATATCATTTAAAAACAATTAATAATTATATTTAATCAGCCTAGAATTTGAACTCGATGAATGTTTGTTAAAAAGGTGACTAATAATCCGCTGAGCCGCTGAGTACAAGTTATAATAACGATTATATTCTATCAAACTTGATTTTTTTAACGAATAATGTGTTCTTTCTCTGAGAGTCCTTTTTATACAAGAGACAAATTCTAGGCGCAGATTCTCCAAGGCTGGACATTTTGCTAAGATCTTTCTCACATTAAGACTGGAACGTCTATATAAGCTAGTCAAATAAGATTCATCATTTGTCTTCCATTGAAAGCTTATTACTAGCACGAGTGGATTAAAAAATAAACAAACTGATCTTGAGGAATTTCTTGAAAACCGACTTGTCAGCTTTATTGAAATATAAAGTCTTTCTATGAGGTGATGAATTCAGCATATGCTGTCCTAAGTAAAACGGTTAATAGTCGTTTAGATTTAAGGTATAAATATGAGGCTACAGAAAATATTATTTCCAAGTTTATAAAGTTTTTTACTTTCTTAATTTTCAGAATTTTCACTAAATTATCATAATTATAATAACTTATTGTGCTAATATGTGGACATTTAAAGCCTTATCCGCTTCCTTTTAAACCTTAATTACGAATAAGTAGAGGTAAGATTCATTTCGATTATGCTCTATTTACATAATATGGATAGTGCGTCATATGCAATAATTCCAGAATCTAGATGATACTGTCATTATATCCAAAGCATGTCAAGCAAATTATTTATACATATGTTGTCATTTCTATACATAGATAGGCTCATTTTGGTAAAAAAACAATGTTCCTGTGTGCGAAAAGGAGTGTGAGTAGTGAGGCTTGGCTTCCTAGTATAAAAATAAAAGTGAAAACATGAAGCAATATAAGGAATGTTGAGCACAAGCAAAGGAATCAAGAGCTGTGAAAATGCTTCATTTAGGTCCCACTCATCTCAAATCTACCCGAATAGGTTCGGATTTTGCATCTTTCTTTACCAATAAAACAGCATTGTCTATTTCATTCTTGTCTATGAATTCCAACTGCCCGCCTTCTTGTCGCTTGGATCCTGCCAACGGACTGCCCAGATTATTGCCGTCCAATGCAGCCAGAAGCAAAGTGTTTGATTGACGTTGATGCATTCCTGTCTTGTTCAGCAGCGAACCTTGTCGACGACCAGCCAAGCCACTGATCATCCCGCCTCCACTGACGGAGTATCGCTTCCGCGGGAAAATCAAGTTGACCAGACCCTTCCTGAAAGGTCTATAAGTGCCACTGTAGATGGCGATGTTCAAGCAAGTGTGCAGCATTGCAAACCAAATCAGAGCAAAGTCAAGCCGGCGCATCCAGACAGGCTTGATGCTCGTGGTGAGATTACTTTCGAGGCGGAATTCATCGCCGATCCAGTCGGATCCAGTTTTATCGTTCAACGAGACATTCAACGGAGTTGCGCCAGTCTTGTGGTTGTCACTATGGTTGAGTTCTCTGCTTACGTTAAACACATCTTCCGATTCGATGCGTTTGCTGGCCATTGCAATATGCACGATGAAAAAAGGGAGCCATACCAAAATGAAGCTTCCCAACACCAGGCAGATTGTTTTGGTTCCACGCAACATTCCCCTGCCCACTGGACCCCCTATCGCCGCAGTGCCAGCAGGATCGCCATTCTCGCTTTCGCATAACCCCTCGCAACCATAATGAACGCCATCGTGTTTTCGAGAGCACGCTACAGTTCCATTTCGTGCCTGAGCCCCGTTCAACCTCGCAGACTCCGAACCCGACAAGCCAGACGGTTCGCATGTGAGCAAAGTTTGCATCAAATTGCACCGCTTCTCCGACTGTATTTGGCCCGAACTGGCTGTATGAGACGTGCTTGCCGACGCCGGAGGCCGTGTAGCGAATTGACGCATTATGCAATAGAGACGACCGTAGCCGATGCCCAATGTCAGCAGGAGAGCGGCAAACATGCAGAAGCGCACGACGAGGAGAGCGCTAAATTTGGCCTCATGTTGAGTGACAAAAGTGAGCGTGTCCAGGTTGAATTGGTAGTAATAATGAGGGATTGGCACCAATTGGGTGGGCAAAATGGAAAGAGTGGCCAACAGGACCCAGTATCCGAGGACAAGGGTTGCACATCTTCTTCGCGTCCAAAGACGGTCGTAGCTGTACGGCGTCTCAATGTGCGCTAGCTTGTCGAGCCCGATTCCGAGGGTGCTGAAGAGACTGGCCGTCAGAAGGCAATATGAGATTCCGGCGCCCAAGTCGAGCTCGGTCCCGGAGGCTGGTCCATGACCTTGTAGAGCGTATCGTGCACTGAATAGCAGAAAGCAGACGGCCGAGCCGAAATCAGAGATGCCTAGGCTTAGCATAAATAAGGCCTGATTGCTTGAGTGACGTATCGGCTGTAGCGACCGGTTAGTGAGGATGACGGCGATCACACCGGCGTTGCCGAACAGTGAGATTATGCCGATTGCGAGGATGGGCAAAGCCTTCCAAGGATTCGGCTCGAAGATGAGCTCGCAACCGGCACAGAGAGGATCATTTTGCGCAGCCGGTGTACTTGAGTGGTTCATGAACGCTGGCATTTCATTGCGTGATAGTTCATTCATTTCTACAGTTCTCCTCTTCTTTTCACACTTTCTAATTCGCGTCGATTCATCGTTGTTGTCGAAGAAAGCCTGAAATTCACATAAAAATTACTCCCTTTATAGCATTTATAGGCAGGCACAAATTATCCCATATGATGACTTTTATAGTGACTTGTGTGATGAAGGTGGAAATGAGGGTGCCCTATAGATAAGGGATCCATCCGTAGGTGATGTGTTAGAATATAAAATAAAAACAAATCCTATAAACTAATCAAAGGAGGCGACCGAAGTTCCGGTTTGCTATTGTATGCACATCCATATGAATGAACTGGATAAATACACTAGCTTAAATAAGATGTTAATCATTGGCCTTTTAAATCCATCCAATAGAAGCATCACTCTTTTTGATTGGTCTGGATATGTGCCCTGTCTGGTAAATACTATTTTGTGCCAATATGCTGTATCCTGCGTAGCATCATACATTTGTTAAGTGGCTAACAAAGCGATAGCGTAAATAGTTAGTCATACATGCTAAATGCCAGAGTATTTTTGTAGTTATATTTAAATTTTCTTAAAAATATATCTATAGAGCAAATACCTTATGATAATCAAAATTTCTCGGAAATCAACGACCTTAGTGTTTAAGTAAATATAAAATTATTTAAAATTTTGGCACTTTTATTGCGCCCATCTTTTTGTAAGAAAAGCTGGATTGAATTAATTCGTAATCGGGATCAGTCGAAATTGAGGGAAGATTACCTTTGACAGGTGAGTGTATTTAAGAGAATATGTCTTCGGCACACCGTCTTCCGATCTCATGACCGAACTTACGTATACAATATGTCAAAAAAAAGATTAAACATTAAATACGTATATTAAAATAATTCGCTAGGTAATAGGAAGTAAATCTTTACCTTTACAATTCTAATTATTTTGTTTACCAAATAGGGCCTTTCTTGCTTTGGCATAGAAATAACGAGTCCTACTTATAATTAATATGACAAATAGAAGTTCCATGATTTGCGAATTCCTTCCTTAAAATTATAACTCTATCAAAATGAAATTACAAACTCGTCCTTTCCAGCACTGATTAAGTAATGGCAGCTTGAATTAGCCTGAAATGATTCTATAACGATGTTATATGCCTAATGCCTGAAACAACTCCTTTTTGCCAGGTCTTTCCATTACTAATTTTTTTATAACTCGGGCCAAGGTCACTCATATGGAATCAATACACCTAAAGTAGCGTAGTTTGCTATTTTTTATAGAACACAAAGTCGATATAGATTCTTGATTAGGCATATGTTCTGTGCTCAGGCTTTCTTACTTGTGTGCAGGTGTAGACACGTGAGA